AGGGACACGGACCAAAGAAGGTGGCGTGCTTTTGTTTGTTTTTGCTCTTGGCTGCTGCATAAAAACACGTCATCGGTTCTCTTACTCAACGTCTCGGTGGTCTGCTTACGTTGAACCGCGACACTGGTGGAGGTGCTGGACTTTGAGCCTGCTGATGCTCTACACCCCATCAGGGAGCAGTCTTCAAGTCCCGACACGCAGTGACCTGTTACAACACCAGTGTACCGCTTTAGTCGGTGGTTGCTATGCCTTTCTCCTGAGCGGACCTCTTTGGATGAACATTCTACCAGGAATTTCGTGCCTCTGCGAATGGCCTCCACCAGCCAGCCACAGGTGGTCTAAGCGATACAAGGCAGCCCAGGTAACGCTTCTTCGGCCACTTGTACCTGATTGCTTCAGTGGTACCCCACATGAAGATGTTGAAGATTGGCTTGAGCATTACAGACGCGTTGCCGACATCAACCAGTGGAATGCTCAGCAGAAGCTCGCCCGCATGTACTTCACTCTCAATGACAGCGCTTGCACGTGGCTTGAGAATCGAGAAGGCTGTATATCGACGTGGGAGGAGTTTTGTCAGCAGCTGATTGCTATAGTCGACCTTCGAGAGCGGGCTCAGCAGTCGCTCGAGTTTTGACTTCAAAAACCTAACGAAACTGTGGCAGACATGACGCGCCTGTGTTGTCGGGCTGATCCCAATATGTCCAAAGAAAAGAAGCTGCGCTAGCTTATGCGCAGCGTGAATCAACAACTAATCGCTGGACTTGTGCGTAATGCCCCAACTACCGTGGCCGACTATATAAGAGAAGCCTCTGCCATTGAGCGTGCTCTGCACCAAACATTGAGGCAGTATGACTGCTCGTCCACTACCACCCCAATCATATCGCTTCAGTGACTATGGACAATCAAGGCTCCCTTCGTGATCTGATTAGAGATATTGTTCGAGAAGAACTTCAGAAGCTTTGGAATCTGCCAGTGGATACACCAGTGACCGCTGTTGCCGCAGTCATTCGTGACGAACTTAGGCATGCTTTCTCAGCAGCTGATCTCGGTCGCGAGCAGCATCAAATGAGTTATGCCGACGGTGTCCACCATCCACCACCCATCCCGCCTATCACGTCATACTACCAGCCACCTACAGCCGCACCTTCGTCCCAACCTTTGCTGGAGGCTGTGTTTTCTGAAACGTTTGACGAATACCTCGAACGATTGCAGGTGGTCTTGCAGGCCATACTGGCCGCAGGCCTGACGCTCGAGCCGGAGAAGTGTCACTTCTACTTTGAGGAACTACAGTTTCTTATCCATGTCGTCAGTTCGCAGGAGTTTGTCCTAATCCCGTGAAAGTTTTCGCTGTCGCACAGTTTCCAACACCATAAGATAAAAAGGCAGTCACACGTTTTCTGGGTCTCTGTGCATATTATTGGCGGTTTATTCCAGACTTTTTGTGCATTGCGTCGCCTTTAACTCGTCTCACGAGGGATGACGGTGCGTTTGTTTGGGGCGACAAACAGGAAGCTGCTTTCAATGACTTGCGGCACCGTCTACACACGACCCCCGTGCTTGCCCATTTTATGAGACAGCCCCTACAGTGCTCCATACTGACGCCAGCAATGTTGGCGTCAAGAGCTGTGCTTGTTCTGCGCCAGGACAACGAGGAAAGAGTGATCGCTTACGCAAGGAGAACTCTGTCACGCACAGAAGCAAATTACTCGACAACTGAAAAAGAATGCCTCGCCGTGGTGTGGGCAGTTATGAAATTTCGTCCATACTTGTACGGCCGCCCATTCAAGGTTATCAGTGACCACCATTCATTGTGTTGGTTAACAAGTCTGAAAAATCCTTCTGGGGGATCGACACACTGGAGCCTTAGACTACAGGAATTTGATATAATGATGGTGTACAAGACGGGAAAACAACACACGGATGTCGACTGCCTGTCTCGATCACCGATAGAGTCTGCTGCTTCCCTTGATGAAGAGACAGCATTGCTCAGAATCGTCGACACGTCCACCATTGCAGATCACCAGCATGACAATCCTGAGCTACTTCGCTTGACCAATTATTTAGAAGGATGAAGCCAGAATGTGCCAAAAGCCTTTGCAAGAGGACTATCGTTGTTCTGTCTGCGAAACAATATCCTTTACAAAAAGAACTTGTCGTCAGACGGGTCCACCTACCTGTTTGTCGTCCCTACCGCTCTTTGTTTTGAGGTATTGCAAGCTTGCCACAATGAGGTCACATCTGGACATTTAGGCTACACGCGCACACCGGCCATAGTTCGGGAGAGGTATTACTGGCCCAGACTCGCCTCTAGTGCTGGTAACCGCTAGGTTATAGTGGCGACCAACTACCTTACTTGCTACGCCGAGACAAAAGCCATCCAGAGAGCTACAGCAGAGGAGGTGGCCCAATTCTTCATAGGGAACATTGTGCCGAGACACGGTGCGCCGTCGATCGTTATAACAGGTCGCGGAACTGCATTCACGGCCGCGCTTTTAGATCATGTGTTGGTGCTCAGCAGTACTATTAATCGTAAGTCGACAGCCTAACCATATCCACAAACCAACAGGCTGACCGAGCGGCTCAACAAGACAGGCTTTCAATGTATGTGGATATCGAGCACGAAACTTGGGATGCGATTCTCCCTTACATAATGTTTGCATACAATATTGCTAAACAAAAAACGACACGGATGACCCCATTCAGTCTTCACGGACGAGAAGTAAGGACGATGTTGGACACGATGCTGCCACACAAATGCGATGACAATGAAACGAGGGCTGACGCGTTCACTCAACGTGCAGAGGAAGCCTGGCAGCTCGCACGTCTGCGAATATACCAACAGCAAGCGTACGATGCAGGTCGCTTTAACCTACGTCGTACACCTGTAACGTACGAAACCGGGGACAGAGTATTGGTGTAGACGCCTGCACGAAGACGGGGACTATCTGAAAAGTTGCCCAGAAGATACTTGGGACCTTTTCGAGTACTGAGACGACTAAGTGACGATACCTACGAGATCGTCCTGGATAGCCCAAACTGTACAAGGCGTCGCCAGCACAGACCTGAACTTGTGCACGTAGTGCGCATTAAACCATACGTCGGCGAGTGACTCTGCGAAGCACCATCACTTGTACAAAGTGAGTGTATGCGCGAATAACTTGCTCAGCAATAAGCATCGGGGCGATGCTCTTTTAAAGTGCCACTCACCAGGTTCGACAATTTCGAGGCGTTCACGATCTCGTCTGCCAAAATTCGCAACTCTACGCGCCACGAGAATGGGTCTAATTTCAAGAAGAACACTGCTCCTTTTCCCCTCTGCCGGCGGGCCCCTAGAGAATGAGGGCATGACATGCGCGTACGAATGACCCTGCGTACACGGCAATGCAGTGACATTGATCCTCTACGTAGACGACTGCTCTGATGTTGCAGACAGTGGCACGTGATATGGCCAAAATTATTTAACACAGTATGTGTAGTTTATAACGCATGAAGGGAATGTGAGCGTCTTTTTTTCATTTTTGTTCTGCGAATTGCAATGAGATGCGGGGCTAATGTGTCGGCGTTTCGCATGCATTTGTGCCTCTACGCTCCTACGCGTTCGCGCACTCATCCATTCTACCGCGTCTGGGCCAGCGTTTTCAAACGATCCCGCAGAAACAGGCAGAAGACCACAAAATAACGCTGGTCAACAAAGCAACGCTGCTCGCGTGCTCGGGGGTTGGTCTTGCTTGGGCACGTCATGCGCACGTCACCTCATGGTCAGATTCTGAAGAGGGCGGGGTAGAGATTTGGCTTGCGAAGGCTACGCGGAGGAGCAGCAAGAGTTTCGAGCCTCTCATCCTCATTTTGCGTTGCTTCAAAAACCTGTTTTCTCCGCTCGTGATGAACTGATTCAAAATATTTTTGTGGCAAAATGTTACTCATCGATCACCCAACAACTTCCACTGTCTAACTAAAATTTGTTATGGAACCTGGTGAGTGGCCCTTCAAGGGGAGACAAATGTCGCGCTTGAAATAGAGAATGAAGACGATGTGCGAGCCAGCAGTCTCGTGAAAAGGGACGCGGACCGAAGAAGACGGCATGCTTTTTTTATGCCTTTGCTCTTGGCTGCTGCCTAAAAACACGCCGTCCTTTCTCGGACTCTATGCCACCTGCTTACGTTGAATCACGACAATACTTACAGCATGTTGCTGAAACACACCTATAGGAACTGTCGAAAAAATTTAGTGCCATCAAAAATTGAGCACCAGTAAGTGAGGCAACACCACATTTGTCACTGTTACTCGAATTACCATTTTTTGTCTGTGTGTACCTGTATGTTCTTTTCGAGACTCCTTTTTCGTGCTTAAGAAGGAAGGCGCAAGTGTCTTAACTGCTTGTTGTTCGTCATGCTACATTCAATTTTTTTGCTATCGCATTCATTGCTTTGCCCTTGAGCGTGAACTTGACTTTTTTTTTACACACTCTACTTCTTCATATTAATGCATAAATAGGTAAATAAGTAAATCAATAAATATGAGAATACAGCTAGGGAAGGAGGGCCTGTGTAACAAGAGGACACCTCCAGCTAACAGATTTGCTTCATGTGTCAATTGGGAAATGGTGTAATCAATCCTGAATGGTCTCGTTGAGCATCTTGGTATTCAGAATAGTATTGATGTAAGTCTGAAGATGACAGCACTGTCTTCCAGAAGTTTATTTATGGAGGGAGAGAGGACGCAGTGCCTCAGAAGCCATTTCCAGTGTTCTTTGACAAATACTACTGGGGTCTTAATCCCCCATTTTGCTCTTGTCTTAGTGCTGAGGTAAAATGTCTCAGAGCCATGTGTACTCTTTGTTTTCTTGATTATTTTTGGCAGCTTTTAAAAATATGGCAGAATGTTTCAGTTTTGAGACTCTGGGTCATTTTGCATTTTGTTAGAAAAACTGCACTCGACTTAGTTGACTCTTCACTCATTTTTGAGGTTTCTTATTGCTTTCCGTATTTCTCTTTTTACAGGGAAAGAAGTTTATTTCCTTTCTCTTGACAGTAGACAGGGGCCTTGCCAATAGCATATACAAGTTGGTGGATGGTGCCTTGGCAACCATGGCAAGGTTTGTCATGATTGCTGTTCGTTAGCTTTTGTTCAGTTGATTTTGTTAAACCATGTTGAATTCAGTTGAAATACGTGGCGCAAGGTTGTGAATGAGAAGAACGGGAAGACACACACAGAAAGAGCGCTGTCTCTTCTCGTTCTTCTCATTGGCAATCTTGCGCCACGTATTTCAACTAAATATGTACCAACTAGCTCAACATAACGTACATATTGAATTTGTTGTTGCTACAAGTCTTCAAGTAGCTCTGCGTTGCATCGAAGAAAACCTCTCTCTAGGCACAGATTAAAGCCTTGTGGTTTAAAGTATGTTGGCATTGTTGCATGTATATGTTCTTGAACATAACTAGTGTAAAGTTAAAGAAAGAGACCAGGGCTAACATAGTAGAAAGCTGGCTGACAGAACAACTACACTCGCACCAGGGTATAACAAATTATTGGTAGTAACAAAATAAGTGAAGAATAGATTTTGTCATAAGTACGGTGCTAAGAATACATGTTTATAACGAATGTTCAGTATTTTCGTTATATCCAAAAATTGTTATTGTATGTAAAGTGTGGCTGAGAACTAAGCGTTGGTCGGTAGTGTAGTGAAGGGAGATAGGCAGCTATAGGAAGGGGAAAAAAGAAAAATATGCTGGCCTCTGCTCTCTGATATATTGCCACGTTCCTTTCCTCGAATTTCGTTATCGCCCTGTTACACTACATTCAGCGCAAACCGCGCCTACGATGTTTGAGAAGCTTCAAGCTATAGTAGATTGTTTTGTTAAGATAACGCCCACTTCATGAACATTGCAGATTGTTCAGGAACCTACGTCGCCGCTAATGATAACCCTAGAATATTCGATGGCAAGTGTATAAATGCCGACACGCTTTGCCGATGTTTTGTTCGCCGCTATCAGTGCCAGTGTCTTGCTGTAATCTGACTTTCCTTTTATGTAGCCACAGGTTCGGCCCAAATAAAAATTTATTGTTCAACCTACAGTCTGCTGCCTTCACGTCACGACCCCGTGACATCTGGTGGAGGTGCTTCCTGGCCCATGTACCAAACGCCCTCCTCCAGTCGTAAGACAAGCCCACACCGTGAAGAGGACATTGAAGCCAACCTCGATCAGCGAGCTAGCCACAGGCAGTGAGGTCTGCAGCCAGAGTACGAGGCTCTACCCGATACTCTACCCCGATAAACTTTCGCAAGCCCAAGGCTACCATCACTGCAGCGTCCACTATGACTGGCCCCGCGCCAACGCACGCCACGGCCGTAATGAATCAGCCGAGAGTGCCACCGACCTTCCAAAGATCATCATGTGAAGAAGCGGAGACCTGGCTCGAGACGCATGACCAAGTGGCCGTCTCGAACCAGTGAGACTTGGAAGAAAAACTGCATCACATCTACTTTTACCTGGAAGATGCGGCAAAGACCTGGTTCGAAAATCACGAGTCGTCACTTCAAACCTGGGATCTCTTTTGCGGCGCATTTCTCAAAACGTTCACGAGCGTCGCCTGAAAAGAAAGGGCTGCTGCTGTGCTGGAAAGAAGGGCGCAGCTTTCGAGTGAAAGCGTCCAAGTTTTCGCAGAAGAGATGATTCGTTTGTTCCCACTCACCGATCCTGACATGAGAGGCAGAAGAAAGTCCGTTTGCAAGACCTCTTCGCTGGGCTATTTCAGAACCCTCCAAAAACAGTTCAATCACGTTAAAGAACCCCAGGTGGTCGGAATTTCTGGAGCCCTCCTCTACGGTGTCTCTAATAATCATATGGTGGTTTTGGAACGTTAAACCCCGCATATCATTATCAAAAACAGTTCAAGAGTTTGTCTCAGAGGCTACGACAGTTTAAAAAAGTTTAGAAATGCGTACCTGCCAGTACGATCGGCAATCGATGCAAGACAGCTCAGCTGTTCACGCCCTCGGCTCCGAAGACATACATGAAACGATCCGACAGATTGTGCGGGAGGAGCTACGGAAGCTGCTGCCTTCATCGCAGCCCCACGTGGACTCGATTGCCGATATTGTCCGCGAAGAAGTTCGGCAATCGCTTGGAGTTTTTGAAGCACCGCAGCCTCAACCGCAAGCAATGAACTACGTTGCTGCAGCCCGAGGCTACATGCTTCCTTCGCGTCCTTACCAAGACGACGCTTCGCCGAACTGCCGTTGCCAGGCGACCTCGCCGCCACCACCACCGACGCCCTACCGTTCTCCTCTGGGTCAGCGCTACACACCAAGGAAAACGGACGTTTGGCGCGCCCCTGACAACCGCCCGCTATGCTACTGCGGGGAGGCTGGCCACATTTACCGCCGCTGCCAGTACCGACAGATGGGGCTCCGGGGATTTGCCGTCAACGTGCCGTGTCTGTAGCTGGGAGAAATGTCTTGCGAAATTGCCGATTACATCACTGGAACACAGTGACAAGAATGATGACCATACCATTCCCCGTCACCCAGCCGCTACAACTCGCTGCACCGCCGGCCGTACACTGGCTCAATCCGTGGCCGGTCGCCTAGCCCGCATCACTCGGAAAACAAAAAACAGCAACCGGTGGAGGTGCAGTTGCTGTACGACAAACTGCCGAAGATCCTCCGCTGCCGCCGCCGACGCTATGACGAAACTTCAAGAACCCACCGCAACATGAACGTTGCCCTGATGTCAAAACTTCAGGCCAGAAGACGACTTGATGACGCAACGTCGAAGCAGCGGTACAAACCGTCGTAGCTGAAATCCGACACCGCAATCTAACCACTACGCGAGGAGACGAACTAGCGACCTCGTTGTCCTCATCGATGACTACAGTGTCGGAGCTATCGTTGACACCAGAGCAGACTATTCTGGCATCAGTGGGGCATTCACCGCGAAGTTGAAAAAAGTGTGGACTGCATCTGGACCTCTGGAGGTCACTTAATCTGGACTTCTGGAGGTCACTTAATAACGCTGAGTGGAGTTTGCACAGCTAGTCACTATCAATGCTTTGTCATCTTACAAAATTGCTCCAGGGATGTGATACTTGGAATGGACTTCTAAGTCAACACAGCGCTGTCATTGACACGAGGTGAAAGTCAATCACACTAACCTCAGAAAACACGCTGCCGACCCCTACAACGCCAAGGAATCACGCATTGAATGTGCTAGAAGAGCAGGTCACTGTGCCCCCTTCCTCCAGCGTTATCATTTCCGTTGTAACCGAAAAAGCCAAAAACCTTGAAGGCATCATCGAGGGCGATCAACACCTTCTTCTGAATCGTCAGATTTGCGTCGCAAGAGGCTTAGCTGAGCTGCGTGTTGGCAAAGCAAAGGTGGTGCTCACAAACTTCAGTCACGATTACAGGCACATCAACCGTGGTATGACGGTCGCCTACATTGATGAATTCTTGGAGGCCAGTTCTTCATTCTTCCTCTTCAATCCTGCTGATGCTGCTTCGACAAACCGAGGTCTCGAACCAGATTTCGATGTCTACCTGAGCCTTTCAAAGTGCAAGCAAGACCAGTTCTAGTCCCTGCTCTTGCAATTCAAAGAATGCTTCTCGTCATCATCGCGAATTGGACAAACTCCAATCGCCAAAACATCGCGTCATAACAGAAGAAAGTGCCTGGCCAGTTCGACAAAGCCCATACCGAGTCTCGACGCACGAGCGCCACGCCGTGAAGAAACAAGTTGACGAAATGCTACGCAATGACATAATTCAGCCATCCAAGAGTCCATGGGCGTCAGCCATGGTATTAGTGAAGAAGGACGGGACCCTATGTTTTTGCGCCGATTATCGCCGCCTGAACAAAATCGCAAAGAAGGACGTGTACCCTCTTTCACATATAGACGATGCCCTGGACCGACTCCACAATGCCAAGTACTTTTCCTCAATGGACCTTAAAACGGGCTATTTGCAAATTGAAGTTGACAAGAGAGATCGAGAGAAGACTGCCTTCATCACACCGGATGGCCTCTTTGAGTTTACGATCATGTCTTTTGGTCTTTACTCGGCGCCTGCGACAGTCCAGCGCATTATGGACACCATGCTGGCTGAAATGAAATGGCAGACTTGCTTCGTGTACTTGGATGACGTGTTTTCCTCCAGCTTCGATGAGCATCTCCGGCGCCTTGAAGCGGTACTTCAAGCTATCGGCACCTCTGGACTAACCCTGAAGCCAGAAAAGTGCCGTTTCTCGCACGAGATGTCGTTGTTCCTGAAACACGTCATTAGCAAGTCTGGAATCTGTCCCAACCCGCGAAAAAAAGCCGTCATCGCTGATTTCCCACTGCCCACTGACAAGAAGGCTGTACGCCGTTTTCTTAGATTGTGCACCTATTACAGGCATTTCGTCAAACGTTTTTCACAGATCGCCGAGCCGCTAACTCACCTCACGAAAAACATCGCATTCATGTGGGAAGCAGCTCAAAAGGAAGCATTTCAGGAACTTAAACGACGCCTCCAGACACCACCGATACTGGCGCATTTCGACGAATACGCCGAAACAGAAGTACACACCCCGATGCAAGCAGCGTAGAACTCGGCGCCGTCCTTGTGCAAAAGACTGGTGGTGGGGAAAGGGTTATCAGTTATGCAATCCGGTCGCTATCCAAGGCTAAGGCCTACTATTCCGCAACAGAAAGTCGCTATCCAAGGCTGAGGCCTACTATTCCGCAACAGAAAAGGAGTGCCTTGCCATCATCTGGGCAGCGTCAAAGTTTTGACCCTACCTCTACGGCAGGCCTTTGAAAGTCGTGAGCGACCACCACGCCTTTTGTTGGCTAGCTAACTTGAAGGACCCTTCGGGTCTCCTCATACTGCGAAGCCTCAGACTTCAAGATTTCGACGTGACCGTCGTTCACAAGTCTGGAAGAAAACACTCCGACGCTGACTGCTTGTCTCGTGCCCCTGACGAACTACCGCTGCCTGACGGCCGGGATGAGGACAGCTTCTTAGGAACGATAATTGCCGACGACTTCACCGAGCAACAGCGAGCTGACCCGGAACTCGGAAGCGTTGTGGAATACGTTGAGGGTAATAGCACGACTGTTTCTAATGTTTTAAAGAGAGGACTGGAGTCGTTCTCCTTGCGAAACAGTGTTCTCTTAAAGAAAAACTTCTCGCCCCTTCAAGCCGGACATCTTCTCGTAGTTCCTTCAGCTGTGAGACCAGAATTACTTGGAAGCTCTACACTACGACCCGGCACCTCGGTGTTTCCCGTATGCTCGCTAGAATACAAAAAAATTACAACTGGCCCCGACTTGCCGCCGACATCGCTCGTTACGTCAGGACCTGCTGCGAGTGTTTGCGACGAAAGACACCGCTGACTAGGCCAGCCAGACTCCTCCAGCCAATCGAGCCACCTCGCCGACCGTTCCATGCAAATCGGCATGGACTTACTGGGGCACACCCCTATGTCGAATTCCAGGAACAAATGGGTTGTCGTAGCTACTGATTACCTCACACGCTACGCTGAGACAAAGGCCTTTCCCAAAGGCAGTGTCTCCGAGGTAGCAAAGTTCTTCGACGAGAACATCGTCCTACGTCATAGAGCCCCACAGGTCCACATTACTAATAGAGGTACGGCCTTTACGGTGGACCTAACTCGGGCGGTTCTGAGGTACAGCCAGACAAGTCACCGCTGGACCACTGTCTACCATACACAGACCAAAGGCCTCACCGAGCGTCTTACTAAGACTATCACTGATATGCTGGCTGTGTACGTCGACGTCGAGCACAAGACGTGGGATGAAATCCTTCCATATGTGACCTTCGTGTACAATACGGCCGCCCAAGAAATGACGCAGATCACGCCGTACAAGTTGGTCTATGGTAGGAGCCTGGCAATGACGCTCGACGCTATGCTTTCAAACGTCGCTGACAAAGAGAACCTCAACGTCATTGCCTACCTTCAGCTTGCTGAAGAAGCTCATCAACTCGTCCGCCTGTGCATAAAGAATCGGCAGGCGATCGACAGCCGTTGTCACAATCTTCGACGAAGCTTTGTGGGGTACCAGCTCAGGGACCGTGCCTGGATGTAGACTCCGATACGCCGACATGGGCTCACTGAAAAACTTCTGTGACGGTACTTCGGATTGTACCGAGTAGTTCGACGTCTCGGCCCACTCGACTACGAAGTTGTTCCCAACTAAATTACGAACTCTCAACGGCGCTGTGCTCGACCAGAAGTCGTCCATGTCAAGCACTTTAAGCCATTTCATGCCCGAACCTGAGGACTGTCTTTTCTGGTCGTTGCTGTGCTTTATTGCTTGTACCTATTGTTTATTGTCTTTACTATTGTACCTTCGTCTTTTGTTTAAGCATCGGGGCGATGCCTTTTTCAGAGGGGGCGGCAATGCCACGTTCCTTGGCGGCAATGCCACGTTCCTTTCCTCAAGTTTTGTTATCACCCTGTCACACTACGTTCAGCGCAAACCATGCCTACAATGTTCGAGAAGCTTCGAGGCTGTAGTAGATCGTTTTGTTAAGATTGCATTGCATTGCATTGATTACATTGCAGATTATTCAGGAACCTACGTCGCCACTAGCGATAACGCTAGAATATTCTATGGCAAGGGTATAAATGCCGACACGCTTCACCGCTTGTCAGTTGATAGACGGCCGATGCTCGGTTCGCCGATATCAGTGCCAGTGTCTTCCTGCAATCTCAATTTTTTTTTACGTGGTCACAAGTTCAGCTGAATGAACAGTTTTATTTTCGACCTACTGTCTGCTCCCTTCGTCATTGTCATGACCCCGTGACAATACTATAACAAGCGTGAAACTTCTGTAACCGTATATACAGGTTTGGCGCAAATACCGTATTTACTCGATTCTACCGCGCCCTCGATTGTAACGCGCACCCGATTTCCGCCGCGAAAAAAAAAAAAAAAAACGTAAGACATCGATTGCAACGCGCACCCATTTTTTTCCGCTGGCCCGCACGATCACACCACTCGAAAAAACGATTCCTTTCGGGATTGTTTTCCATCTAAATATGAGGTACGGGCGAAGCTTGTGCCCATCTGACGTGTAACAGAGCATTGCCGTCACTGTAGTTTTACCATGGACCGATGTCAGCACGCGAACTTGCTTTGCCCCCTTCTTCTCGACAGTTGTGGTGCCAGGCATGTCGAAGTAAAGAGGCGTCTGATCGGCATTCCAGATTTGCCCAAGCAGGTAGCTGTTGTTGCGCCGCAAGTTTAGGACGAACCTTTGAAAACTGTAAAGCTTTTCATCGTACTTCTCCGCAAAAGTTTTCGCATATGCATGTTCCCCTTCGAAGGGAAGAGCCTTTCCTTTTCATATAGTTAATTAGCCAGCACCTGCTCGCTTTAAACTGGCTCCGCATTAGACTTTTTTCTAAGACTAATTGCATAGCCCGCACTTGGAGCAGTTCTGTCGTCACGGGCCGCTGTGCCGCTCGCTCCTCAAGCACATACTCGCGGAGCAGCTCTTTAATTTGCGGAAACCGACCCTGCTGTGGTTCACTGAAGCCTTTGCGTGAAGCTTTGCTGTCGACAATCTTCTGCTTTTGTTTCCGCCGGTCCCGCACGCACGTTTCGGGAACGACCGCGATGCGGCCCGACTTCCGTCCGTTTCTGCACACGCGATGACTTTTCTTTTAAAAGCGGCATCGTGGAGCACTTGAGTTTTTGGAGTCGGCCCTTTCACGTCGTCGATGCTAATGCACTACTAGATGACGAACTCCTCAGCACACGTACGAAGTGCCGCACATGGTAAACACATAGGCAGAAATAGCCGACGCACCATGCCGACGCACGTAGGGGGCGGCCATTTTGGATTTGCGATGGCAATAGATTGACCATAATTTTTTGTTCGTACTCGATTCTAACGCGCATGCGATTTATGAACTCGCTTAACCGGAAAAAAGGTGCGCGTTAGATTCGAGTAATTACGGTAAACAGTTTATTGTTTGAGCTGCGCCTTTGTCCACATCACGACCCAGTGACTATATCAACTGCTCTCTCAACATTATAATATGGGTAATAGCAAGGCAAAGTTGATTCAATTCCACTGCACCCCCAGGGTAAAGAAAAAAAAACCCCTCCCCTTCTGCCTGCCCTGAAACACATGGGCAGCCTTTATTTGCTTTTGTACGTTTGTGAGAGAGGTCCATAGGAAGAGGCGCGTCAACACTTTTTTGACCATATTGGCATTTTAACTCTGGCATACCTTTTATAGCTGTCACCCCATCTGTTTCAGTTCGCACATCCAGTTGCTGGCCCAAGCATACATCTCCGCATGGAAAGAAGTGGGCAACACACCACAGGCTACGGTGAGGTGGCATGCTGTGCATATTCTTGCACGTTGTACTATTGCTCCCTTGCGACAAGCACTTCTTACAGTGCTAGACGTATCATTTTACGTCTAGCACTGTAAGAAGTGCTTGTGTTTAGAAGCAGTTTTTTTACTATGTTGTCTCACCAGCCATGTGAAATGAAGTACAGTTGGGCTTAGTGATAGTTGAGTAGAACATTAAAGCAGAGGAATAAGTCAACATTCCTCCCTGCTCATAGTCGTAAAAGAAAAAGGTCATGGAACAGCCAAAGTATCAAAAGCAATTCTTAGTTTGAAACAAGTGCTATTTTAAATGGTGTACAGTGACAGCACTATTTACTTAGACTGTGTGTTCGTGGCACCGCACTTTGGCAAGCCAAAGTGTGCCGCAAGAAAGCAGAACTAATTTTCTGCATAAAATCTGGCATCCGTGATGTAAAGCCTTTGGATTACTACCCGGCGTGCTGAAAACTGCTTGCTATATTGACTGCTTTCATCTGGATACTCTCAAAACATTTTCTACTGATTGCTGCATGCCCTGAAGCGACCCTCCGTTTGCCAGTAGTAATAACGAGGGATCCGATACCCTCCTTGCTAGAAGGCAGAGTTGTGTGTTTGCAAAACTTTCTGGCTGCCTTGTGTACTATGAAACATAGTGATAAGGTCTGTCCATGCAAAAAAAAAAAGAGAGAGAGAAGTGGAGGGAGGGGGAGCACACATGGCTTGCTTGTGTATTGGTGTGGAGAGCTTTTTGCTCAATGTCTTCTAATATGACATTGCTGCTGAGATTGCCTGTGGTTTCCAAACCTTTGGAGCCCTGTGAATGCTTGCTCTCACGCAAGAGTCATTTAGCACGAGACTGTTCATAAATGTCCTTGACGTCACAATTGCAGTAACAGCTTGTTAATTTATTTTTCACAAGCATTAACAAATCCAAAATAACTAAATGCCAAGTCATCAAAAGCATCAAGAAAGCAATAAACAAATGTGTTACATCAATATCACTTTCTTGATGAATACATAAATTTTGTACCTCTAATACGATCGCGTTCAAGAGCTCATTTCGCAGAAATTCCAGTGTCAGTGGCGGCGTGGGAGTGGCTTGTGAGCGAAGAGTCATCTTGTTTGCGACTCAAACATTGAGAAAGACGCAAATAAATAGTAAAAATTCCTGGGTCTTCGTTTAGGGATCGTTCGTTTCAGGTCTGCCTCGTAAATCTGGCAAAATAAAAAGAAAACCTTTAGAAATTGTGTTTAATTTGTATAAAACAATTGTGTAAAACTATATGAAAGCCATGCTTTTCTCTCTTCCTCTTCCATTTTTGCTTGAATCTAGAATAACTAAATTCTGGTGTTCAAACCTAAAATGTGCCTTATTTCTTCAATGGGAAATTGGGTACTACGGAATTTTCCCAGATGCATTATTGCCTGCTCCGAAGTGCGCCAAGATAAACTTTGCTGCTCAAGAAATTGTTCAATATAGGAAGTCCTAGGTAGCATCGCTGCTGTGTAGCGTATCTACCATGCTGGCTACCTCTGCGGGGTCTTTTTAATGCCTTTTTCGTCTTGCCAAGTCCACTGTCATAGTACATGTATTATGTTCTTGCAGTGTATTATGTGGTACAGTTCATCTTCCTTATTTTTGATTATGCCTTTTCCCCACCTTGCTCCTGTAATGCGGCAGGTCCTCGAAGAAAACATGCAAGAGATAATGCATTGGGCAGTGAACGGGAATCTTTCTGCGGGCCACCATGAGAACTTGTTTAAGGCAAGTGATGAAATATTCAATGATAAACCTTGTTACACTTCGCGTCTGACATTTTTTCTTTTTGACTCCCTAATGACCGCAAAACATATTCTTGCAGTCATAGCATAAACACTTACATAATCTCAGTTTGAGAAATATGTTGGGGAACACCATGAGGGTGGCCCCTTTCAGTTCTTGGTAGGGTCACTGCGCCATGTTGCAGACTCTTGAATGTGCAAGTCTTCAGGATTGCAGCTATGCTGACTTTTCGGAACCTCATTCCTTCCATCTGAGAGAGAAGTTACGCTTCTAAACTGTGCTTCACCTTGGTGCGATCACTGTCGTGTGCTGTGAAGGTGGCCGTGGGTAAGCGTTATCGCCATGGCCGAATTTGTTGTGCTGACTATCTTAAGGTGCACAAAAAGGAAATTCCACTGCAGCGGAATTTCCGGCGCGCAGAAGATATCGGTGTATCTATTTTGCCGAAATTCTTAAAGCAGGGTGCCCGCTCAGTTCAAGAGGGAGACCAGGTATGCCAGCACTGCTTCAAGAGATACAAGGGCATGGTTTCATCTTACTCAGGTTCCTGCGGTACTGGTGACTTCTTTATTCCGGAGCACGAGACAGTCGATGAGATGAACAAGTTGACAGATTTTGCTAACATTTCACTAATGAGGCTCCTTGGTTGTATTCCTAAAAAGCGAAAAAAAGTTTATGCAGAGAGAGAAAGCGAGAAGAAATGGAAAGTGCCATTTCAAGGAAAATTCAAACCGGAGTCCACAGCATATTTGGAACAACTGACCGTCCTGGGCCGTCAAGTAGGAATGGTGGTGTCTGCAGTGAATGGCTGGTAAATTTGGAAAAAGCCTACCAAGCATCAACATCTTACAAAGAGCGCCTGCAATTGTTGACACTACTGTCAGCAAATCTTGATACACGAACATTCCAAGTCGCAATACCAAGTCTATCAAGCTACATGCTTCAAAAGTCGCAAAGCTGGCGTGAGAAGCACGGTGTGTGGGCTGCCCCAGATCTACAGTACAGATCTTGCTTAAGTGCCAAAGAGGTGGAAACTGCTATGGACTATTACACAAAAGATGAGCATGGGTGCTCACGGCAAAGCTCGAACAAAAAGGACGACGTGGCTGTTATTCTTGACAATGAAAAACGGCACATTGCCAGAAGATTTATGACTTGCTCCATTCGGGAGGCATATGTTGTATTTTAAGAAAATCATCCAGGCATTTCCATGGCGTCAAAATTTTATTTCCTCTGGCCTAGTTGGGTTCTGCTTACTCCACGCCAAGAGGTTTGTCCTTGTTTATACTGTGCAAACACCATGCTTTGCGTTTATGCTTTGAAAAGCTTGATTGGTGATATCTACACCGTCGAGGACTTGGAGAAACTGTTTATGTGTTCGTCACCAACAATGCAGTGTTACATCGGTGGCTGTGAGTTGTGTCCATTCAGACAAGGAATAACTATAAGAACATTAGGGGCACCCTTCGAGGCTGACGTCACCTACGTGGTGTGGGAAAAGGGCGACCTTACAAAGAAAACATCACCTGTGGCTTCCTTTGTGATGGAGCTTGCAAACTGGATCTCGTAGTGGGTGCCGCACGATTACATATGACGAAAACAGTCTGCGGCAGTTCGTGAAGCAAAACAATGCGAGCAGCAAGCATCGTCTGTGCTACATTTCGACTTCCCGGAAAATTGGACAGCAGTTGTTTCAAACGAAGTTCAGTCCTATCATTGGCACAAGAAACAAGTGTCAATTTTTACTTGTGTTGTAACTGCCAGAAAGGCAACACGTAGTTGCGCAGTCATAAGCGATGACGTGTCACATGACACAGCCCATGCCTGCTTCGCGTTAAGCAAAGTCCACGAATGCCCTCAAATACCCGCTGAAAGTCCTGTCACCTACGTAAGTGATGGGGCAGCAAGCCACTTCAAGAACAAATTTCAGTTGTGTGAGCTGTCACGCAAAGGCTACAAAGCAACAAACTGGCTCTTCTCTGCCTCTGGACATGTAAAAAACTCGTGTGATGGAATCGGTGGAGTCGTGAAGCATCAGGAATCTTCACAACCTACAAGCAGAAAGCGGTGGTGTCATACAGAAAGCACTTGAACTGGTCGCAGTATTACAAGACAAGTTGAGAAATATTGAGCTTATTCATGCACTAGCCTGTGAGATCGAGGGCTTCCGGAATTAAGAGAAAGAATGGGAGCTTACCCCCCCGGGTGGAAGGCATCTGTTCATGGCATGTTTGGAAATGTAGATCTGTTGAACGTGAAGAAAACGTGTTTCGTCCGTGGCCAGTACAGCTGCTATGAATCTTCATGTAATTCACCCTTTTTAAACTTTGCATTGATCGCCTATGGTTAGACAGTTTACGCATTGGGGCTAACAAAAACAAAACCTTTTGGCATCTGCTCTTCGGAAGTTCTTTTAGATTCCTGCAAGTGACCTTGGTTTTAAATTCTGCCACCGCACGGCATCATAAGAGAAGCACGAAGGGAATGCATTCTTGAGCATATCGAAGATATGAATTCCAACCGAAGTAGGTGAAATAAAAAGAGGGTACAAATGGATGAGCTGCCTTTTACTCCGGGGTGTCAAACACTGTCGTGGAGGCACGAACCCTGCAAATAAGTTTACTTGAAACGATCTCTTTACAAAATGGTTTGCACTCACCAAAAAGACATAATTAGTGCCATCTAGCCAAACTTAAAAGAGAAAAAATGTGTTTTATTTTGTTTTTTATCGCGAATAAGACATTTTTCGCGACAAAAATGTCTTATTCGCACTAGTGACCTGACTGGAAACATAATCATTTTTAAATTGTTGTTCCAACAAAAATGATGCAACATGCTTTTTCATATGATTTTGCAGTCCTCTGAGAACATTTTCCGAGGTTTTGAACAAAATATAGGGCCCACTTTTTATATTGCATTTTGAATCTAAGAACACTTTGGCTTTTTTGGATGATTCGAGCATAACAATTTATTACTTTAAAAAGTAATATGCAAATACAAATGCACGCGTTGCTTGTTCACGTAAAGACCTATTCATACTGCAAATTTGAACTATCCAACGTGTTCACAGAGGTAGCCGCAGTGTCCCAAAATTGACTCATGTTTAAGAATGCAGCGTTTGGGGCAATTTTTAAAAAAATTGTTTCCTCAAAATTTTATAAAACAATGAGAACTACTTCTGTTTTAGTTGTACTTCTGCTATATATATATATATATTTGTGGTATATAGCATCAGTGGCTGTAGGCATGGTCGTCGTCAACCGGAAACGCTTGTCGAATTTTCCTCGGTTGAAAAAAAAATTTATTTGAAATTGAGTTGTAATTTCGCGCTATTCAGTCTTGTGGGCATAACATACAACATTATCAGAAAAATCAAAGACATCGAGTATACCATGTTTTTCAATCTTTTGTGGAATTGACCTTTAGAAAGCAGCCCCGAGGTACTCCTGTGCATGTTCGTACGTGTGTGCAAGGCTTCATTCTTCTATCCTTGCAGTTTCTGAAAGTTCTGCATGCGGCTCGAAAGAACAGACCCATCTGTTTGATGTTGTGCCGGGCTTACTACCCTATCCTTTGGCGGGGCCTCCAGGTAAGCATTATAATGCTTGTTGAATGCAAGTGAAGTCGAAGTGTGTGAAGTGCAAGTTGCCTTGAGAACCGTGTGGCATTATGCAGAGGGGGTTGCACAACGCGTGACCCATTGCTTGGGAGAGATTGTCTTCAGGGACGTGTTCTGATGGTGCCTTAGTCAATGAGAAACTTGAATAAGGGACACTTGAGGAATTTTAGGACCCGCATGTCACAACCTTGTTTTTTTTTTTCTTTTTTTTTTTTTCAATCCAGGCACGGCATCCCAAGGTGCGGTACTCTGCAGCCAGGATCTTTTTCGACACATTTCCTCTTGTGGAGAACACCCAAGTTGCCTTGCAGCAAGAGGAGTTAACAACACACTTTCAAGTGATGCATGTGAGTTTCCCAACATGCTTGTTTCGCATTTGCTCGAGGCTTTTAAAGTTGGTATAAGAAAACATTGATGCGAAAATGCCTTTCGTTGTACCTATATTTCCTACTGGCATATATTCATTACTTGCTAATGTAGCATTGAAATATGTTATTATCAAATCATTTGTTATGTGCGCAACATTCCTGTCATCGTGTGATGTTTATTGTTTTGATATGGTTGCCTTAACTTTTCTCGTATTTTCTGCAATTCATTAGCATGTTTTTTTTTTATTTTTTCGGTGTTTCGTGTGTAAATTTTTGCACAATATACCTTTGTCACATAGACACCAGCAAACTGTTTTGCACACCATAAACTTTTTTTTAGTGCTTCTGCCATCTTGCCAAAGTGCTGCTCATGGGCATGTTGTGAAAAGGTGCCGTAACTACATACAGAGTGCTGCTCAGCCTTACCCAACCCAAGCATATGTTACGTAAGACGTGTGCCTTTCAAGATGCAGAAATGCAGTCTTGCTGCCTGGTGTGCTTCACTCTGTACATGGACAAGCCTTCATTCACACAGTGCCCGAGTGAAGTGAACGGATTTCAATGTATACTTTGTTTCCCCAGGACCTTCTATCTGATGCACGTCCGGAAATTCGAACTCTCGCTGTCAGAAATGTGCTGAGCCTCATGACAGATTATTACAAGATCTTTCCTGTTCGTGTAAGTACAGCTATGCCAAGCCTTCTCAAAATTTGTTGCAGTGCAGTTCACTTATAACGATATCTAAGTACCCACGAAGTTCTATCGTCATAACTGATAATTGCTATAAGTGGTTTGAGAAAAGACAAAAGAGCGATCACATTTTATTTACATGCAAGTAAGTTAGTGCAATAATGTACTTATCTGTAGAAAAGCCGTTCTCTGTCAGCTTTGATTGCTTCATGCGAAGCTTGCGCACAGCTTTCTCAAGCGCATCAAGGGTGCTCAACGTAGCTGAGCTGAAGCTCCTTCACAAAAGTAAAGTCTCGGAAGGACTGTATCATTCATAGGGCCTTTTAAGTACCTGAGTGGGCTGCTCAACCACGTCGTCGGAGTCTCCGCTCTCACCGCTGTTCGCGTTCAACGATCGTTTCATCGGGAGGCACCCGGACGTTTCTACAGAATCGTCTGCATGAAGTGGTCCAGATGCGCCTCAGCTTCATTAAGCACCGACCTCAGTTCCGGCAACTTTTCGTTAATGGGCACTGCGTTGGGCTCTTCTGGCATCGCTTCGGAAGTTCAGAAAAAAACAGCTTCTCCTCCCTTCGTTTCCTCGTATGCAGTAGACTCATTTTCTGAGGGTGTGGATGAGGTGCATGGCGCATAGCAATGCATCTTATAGGCGCAGAAAGCCATGTTCGGTGTGGGCTGTAGTCGGATTCCGTCGCTATATCCGATATCATGCCATTGGAACATCATAATAAGCGGTTTATTTTGTGATAGAAAGCATAAAAATGTGGAAGGTGCAATCATTGTTTATTGTTGTTCAGTCGAATCTCGATAATTCGAACTCGAAGGGGCCCTGAAATTCGGTCGAATTAAAAGAAGTTCGAATTAATGAAAGCTAAGTAAACAGAGGGCTCTCCATGCAGTGGCGCATGTGCATTGAGCTAACACACGAGAGGGAAGTTTAAGAAGACTTACATTTATTCACAAATCACAGGACATCTGTTATTAATTGAAGAAATCAGTGATGCGCGTCTGCACACATTTGTCTTGCAGCGAGTCATTCAATTTCGCACGCAGCTTTTAAAGCATATCTACTTCGGCTTCAGCATTCTCCTGGCAAGAGTAGTTGCTCGCGAAAATGTCCAGCGCCGACACTTTATGAAGACGACGATAACGACGACTGCTGTGTAGCAGAGCCTCCAGCTCTCCGCTACGCAGCCGCAGCATGGCCAGCACGTGACAAGAAAGGAGGAGCGTCTCAACGCCGAGAGAAGCAGATCGGTATTTCAGAGAAAACCAACACTCCACGGCAGCATTTTTTTTTTTTAGGGGCGAAGCTTCTTAAAGCGGCACCGGTTCGTCCCTCGTAATAGTGCGTAACATATCTTACGCTTTGACCTGCAAGGTGGTGCCGGTGGGAGATTTCGCCTGTGCGTTGTTGAACAATAAAAATTTTCAGCGTGCGCGTTAACTAAAAGCCAAATTCTCCCGTCTCTCATTCCCCATTAGTAGTCATTGGCATGTAGATTGAGCACTATCTGACAAGAAAGGGTTGCTATGTTATACTCGCTAGGCATAACCTCCTTGGTTTTCGAAAGGTTTCGTGAGCGTTGAGCCGCACACTGCCATGAATACAGTGAACTAGTATATGCCATGAACTTGAGTTGGTTCAAGATGGGAAGTAGACAGAAGCGCAAGCCGTAAGAAATTGTGCATGTGCCACCTCGCGTTTAGTCCTTGGAATGTCCACTGGATTGCGGTGCTTCTATATGCGGAATATATGATGAAAAGATGCGAGATGGTGGTACTTGAAGTGTTGACTAGGTGGACGAACGGACACACAGACAGATGCATAAACGGACGCACGGATGGCTGCACGGTCGAATGGACGCATGGACGGACGCAGGGACAAATGCATGAACGAACGCACGGACGGACGTGCGGATGCACGAACAGATGCACGCACGGACGGTCACACAGACGGACGCATATATGATGAAAAGATACGAGATGGTGGTACTTTGAGTGTTGACTAGATGGATGAACGGACACACAGACAGATGCATGGACGGACGCAGGGGTGGATGCATGGACGAACGCAGGGACGGATGCACAGATGGACATGCGGACACACGAACAGATGCACGCACAGACGGGCGGATGGACGCACGGATGGTCACACAGACGGACGCATGAACAGACGGAAGCAAGAACGAATGGACAGACGGATGCTTTGCCCCACTCTCATCATTCGCCCCGTGGATATGCTGCCATTTTTTTTGCTCTTTTCGTACGCATCGTTAAAAGGAGGATTACGTGGCAGGGAAGAAAAAGGGGAAGCATGGGACGGGCGCGCGAGAGACACCCCCCCCCTCAAGGCGCAGAGCCGTGCTCCCGCAAGGGGCAAGGGCTGCAGAAGACAGTGCCTTTTCTCTTTCCTTCAACCACACAATCGTTCCACGGAGCGACAACTTTCTTTTTTTCTCTCTCTTTGCGCGCGGCATTGGAAGGAGGAGGGTCTTTATGTGGCTTGAACGGAAAAGGTAAAAGCGTGACACGGGCGCGTTGCAGATCGGCATTTGAGAAAGGACAAACATTCCATTGCAGCCTTTTCTTTCCTTTTCATTTCCTCTGCACGCAGCGTTGAGGTGTCGCATGTGCCGACGCCGGATTGGGCTGGATGCTAAGAGCATTTTCGGAGCGCGTTATGTTCAAATTAACCATCGCTAGTTCTTGCGCATTCGAATTACCGGGCGTTTTCACCCATTGGAATACACATAGCTTTGACGGGATCTCATTGTGGGTTCGAATTAAGCGTGTTCGAAATAATGAGATTCGAGTGTATCAGATACGTTGTTATAAACGGTCTCGTTGTAAATGGACTCAACCTGTAGATTACTTTTATTTCTCAGTGCGTTGTTTACTGCAGCTCTTGTGATGTGATTATGGCGCTGTTTTTCTTTGCAACAGCAACGGAAATCTCTTGCCAAGGTCCTGATTGAGAAGAATGCGCAGGACAAAAACTCTCCTGAATCGAGAATTCGGGTTAACCAGGTGAGATGGCCTTTTATTTTCACTCGACTTAGTTTGATGAAATCTTGTAGATGAAAGCAAATATGTTTAGTGCTGTACAAAGTCTCATTGAATGCAGGGTGAACTTTGCGCTGTGGTAGTGCTGTGCCTTTGTGACATTGTAATCGATGATTCGCACACAATTGTGTGGAGGCTACGATGGCAACTGTCACCTCGCAAAGCTTGAAAAAAAGGCGCACTCAGATTCAAGCAATATTAGGATGTATTGACAGCCAGGACTCTGAACCTCAAGGCTGCCTAGAAAAGCAGTGCATTGAATACAGAACTTCCCTCACAGGGACTTGCTACCATGGTCAGCAATCCGGCGACGCACAACTTGCTCAAGACCCTTATACCCAAGAGGAAAGACAGCCTCAACGATACTTACGCTGTCCAGGTGTCCTATGTCTCGCTCCTGTCTGCAGCTCGCGGTATACCGGGATTTAAGGCATAGTATTCTTTCTTTTGTCTTTGCTGTAGCTATCTGTCTCCGTGATATTTTGTGGTCCACCCCCCAGGATAGCCTCTAAAGATGAATCAAACGGAATGGGCAGCTGGGGTGGCGCAACAGTGCCACTTGAATTCGCACTCGGGCAAGTCCTTTTCTCACAACGGTACAACTTGTTGGCAGTGATACTTCTCAAGCTACTTGTTCTTTTGACAATGTTTGTGGGAATTCTCACAGTCAATTGAGCTACCACTGACCTCGAGTAGTCTCATAGTTTCTGTGCTAGTCCGAAAATTTTCAAGCTATATTGATGCTTTGGTGAAGTCTAAAGTGTTGCCTGCTGTACTTTTTCCATTTTTGCTAAAAGTGAAAACTGACATATGGTGAAAAGAGAAGATTAGTCTAAACCGCTGCTCTGCTACCCTGGCTGCTCCCTTCCTCTGTGCTTCAGCAACGTTACTCTGTACATTAGTTCATTGACAAAATATTCTTTCTGAATTTGTAACTGTAGTGTTTGTGTATCTGTGTAAGAGATTAATTGATTCAGGATAAAATGGCTAGTCTTAATTAGTGTGTGATAAAAATGTAATTACTTCATGATAAAGTAACGACTAAACTTTACTTTTTTCAATTTTCAACAAACGGGCTTCATCATGAGCACATCCAAGTACTGCTGCATACTTATGTCATTTCACTTTACCTCTAGCAGAACGTGCCAAATAGTAGTTATTGTTTACGGGCAGCCATAACGTATCCATATTTCGGCTGGAAACATGCTTTTTCTGTGAGCAAAATTTTCTTTCGGTCATATTAAGCAGTATTCTCATTTTCCTTTTTTTGCTATGAACAGCTTTCATTTTTTAGACTTCTGCACGTGCGACTGCTGGATACAAGTTGCACATTGACGTATTTAAACTTCATCGAAAATTTTCAATTACTCTAGTTGTGTATGTGCATGACACAAACAGTGTAGTGTAGGCAATTGCGTACTGCGATTTACCCATATGGGTGGCACATGAGCCCTGTATACCAGATCTTCAACAGTGCTTACCGCTGTTATATTGCATTTTGCTGTGCCTCAGTTATCTCAACAAATAGGTTTAATCTTGAAAATGTTTTCCCAACAATGTAATAATATCCTCTTCCTCTAATTTAACTAATCCATAAGATTGGTCTTTCAAGACAAGCCGACTTGTAGCCCCTCTTTCTTTTTCTCCCCTTGTTTGTATCTTGTACAGATAAGAAGTAGCGTACAGCTCAATTGATGTGCTGTCACTTTTAGTTCTGGGAGTACGCCGACCCCAAAGTTCTGCTCTCGCTGCTGGCCATGGGCAAGCCGCAGCTCTCACTGAAGATTGCCACGTTGCTGCGGAACAGCTATTTCAATCCAGACGCAGCTGACCGCAGGCAGAACCTGGAGCGCTGCTTGCTTCTCTACTCGATAAATCCGGCCTCTTTCCAAGTGTTCTACGCCCAGTTGACACAGATTGCACCACTGAAGCCCATCAGTGCGTATGAGTTGCAAGTTTGCTTTTCATTTTTTTTTAAATGTGCCCACAGTAAAATTGTGACACGAAATGAATGTTATGATGAAGGCTCGGAATCGTTCTGTGAACAGCGAAATATTAGGCCCAATTCAGACTTTTCTTGAACCTCTCCTGCCCACATTCAGTAACAAGATGCGAGTGATACTTCTGACCAAAGTAAACAATAAAAATGCTAGAAGAGTAAAATTGATTTGAAGCAAAATCTTTTCAAATAATTAAGCCTAATAAAAAAAGAAAAACATTAAAGAAAAAAGTGATGCTGCATTGCAGCCAATATTACAATGAAAATTTGAGTACTATCTTTATTATACCTTCGTGCAGTGACTGAATTACCTATTATCATAACTTCCCCATAGACAAAAGTTTGATCTATGCATATAGTGAATCTCTATCCCCTGGTAACAACAAAGGTTGCCTGTGCTCCAATCATCGTGAGATAGTGGCTTGATTTGAAAGTCCAGTGCCGGCATCAGACCATCTGAAGCAAGGTTTTCAGAGAGACTGTGAAGGATGAACTTGAAAACAGCTGTTCAAAAACGTTGCCTGAAGTTCCAACAAGTTCTGAGTGCATCGAATGTGCATTATACAAATACAGCTCCCTCTTTTTAAATGGGGCTTGGTTTGGGCTGGTTTCTCTCTTGGTTAGAGCATGATCAACAGCAGCTGTTTTGACTGCTAAGCTAAACAAAGTGCCCAAGTTGATATGCACTCATGCAAGAAGCTTCAGGCAGACTTGGTAAAAAATATTGAGTGATGTGTCATTGAAGTCTGTCTTGCTTATATGTTACGTATGTATAAAGACTTGACAGATATTTCAAAATTGGTTTACCACTGTGCTTGTGAGGAGATCTGTTGCATGACAAATTGGAATGCACTGTAGACTGACAAGCAACATTTGGTTCTTTTCATTGGGCTGCTACCACTTTTTTTTTTTTTTTTTGCTGAGTTTGCGTGATATTTTGCTTTTCTCGTTGCGGTCATTTTCAGTTGAGTTCCTGATCACCATCTGCAGAGTTATAATTAATAATGTGGGGCTGCTCAAAAAGACGTGTGCAAAGGAAAACCTCCTACCAGACGAAATCGGCAGCAATCAGGCAGATGACTTGGACATCTACAAGAACGTGAAAACCGTGGATCAGAAGTCCGTTCACATACTTGTTGAGGCACTGGCGATCATCTACAGCAGCCTGTCAATGAAAAATGAGCTGATGTCTGGTGTAAGTATACCTACCTACCTTTCTGCATTATCAGTTTTATATTCCCGCTTGGAGGAAAATACTTCAGCTACATAGCAAGAAGTTTGACTTTACTTCATATGTGAAACATGCAGGTGTGGACAGTGGAATTCGGACTGTTCTTTTTTAAGGGTGAAGCACCTTAAGGGTTTAGGCATGTCCATTGTGCGTTGTCCGTTGTGCCCACTATAAGCCATTACGATGATGCTGATAACAATAAAAAACTAGCGTGTTATCACATGCACAGCACATGCAAGGTACCCTCTGTACACCGTCACGATGACTATGGTGGCGATGACAACGAAGAATAAGTGTCTTAGCCACGGAGAAAGAAAATTCTTGAGGAGGCGAAACTGCGCTTGCTCGGGGGTCCTAATAAAGTCAAGGAATCGGGCACAGCACTCACGTGCCCTCTATCGTGAGATTCCGCTAGCGGAGAAGGAAAAATGCACGCGTCCCTCTCACCACGCTCTCCGACGAAGCTCGTCGGTTCAAGGCCATTCCTCGCCGATTCACCGTTCATTCGGGCGCCAAGCGCCCGAATGGATGTTTTTGTGCGTCCTCGCCGGCTCCAAATTTTAACACGATAGCGTTAAAGAGCTCGTTTCGCAGAATTACCGGTGTCGGTGAGGCTAGCAATTGAGAAGGTGATGCGCACGGGGCCCGACTACTCTCTTGCGTTCTACTCTAGAAGGCGAAGCTCAAGTGCACTCCAAGTTTTTTCGGTAAATTAACGAGGAAAAAATGGCGTCACACACAGGAAAATTACCAGCGTGATATATATTGTACAATGCGAAATCTATAATTTTTGATTACGTGAACCCAATGAGTTAGGTATAATTTATTTTAACGATTAATGGGACTTGTATATTTCATCAATTCAAATTCGGGATGTTGCGGCGGCCCCATTTAAGTGAAGGCGAAATGCTAAAGGCCCGTGTATTTACATTTAGGTGCACATTACAGAACCCCAGGTGGTCAAAATTTCCGGAGCCCTCCACTACGGCGTGTCTCATAATCACATCGTGCTTTTCGGATGTATGACCCTGCACTTATATTAAGGTGAAAGCCTTGGATGCCTCATTAAACGCGAAATTTGACCGTCAGCGTGCCGCGGCGTCGGGGACGAGTGATGCAATACATCACCACCACCATCAAATACCGCCCTATGACGTCACGATGGCTCACAGATTGTCAAAAATCATGACGTCATCATGATGTCACGTGACGTAGCCTCACATGATAACATAATCGCATCGCATCGTGACTTGTTCAAACGTGGTCCGATCACGGAGACAATGCAAGACCAGGTGACGTGGTTCCGATCATGGAGGCAGTGCAAAACCACGTTAGGTGCAAAAGCTTTCGAAGGGTAGTGGGGCAGCATTATACATCAGTCGGGAGGAAAAAGAAGACGGCTTTTGCCTTTGAGTCGTCTTAAATGAATGCATGAGGGACCCGGTGAGCATGACAATTTGTTTTCTTCGCTGTTTCTATTGAATTATCCATACTACCAAAACACACCTAATTTTGTTCAGAGCTTGAATCCTCACTAACCACACTGCTGGTCGACGTCGGTAATATTCCTGCACGAATATATTGCTAGTCTTCTTGGCAATGGCTTCACTGCTTCCATTCCGAAGTCACTGTTCAATGCTAAGAATATTTTAGGCACACACTTATATGAGAATCTATAATGAACAAGCGTAGACGAAGGACGCACGCACGTGCTGAACTTTCATTTTATTTTTCATGTACAGGTGAGGTTACATGATGAAAGTGTTGTACGTCTTGTCCTTCTTCCTTCATGCAATAGTGAAAAAAAATTTACTCCCGTAAAACTTATCGAAACCATTCTTTCTCGTGAATCATTCTTTTGCAAGCCTCAACAGCTTCTTTTTTTCCTGGGCCATTTTCTGCCTGTTTCGTGCTTCGCTTGAGCAGTGTTGTCTCATGCGCATTCCCACGTAGTAGTGAAGAATTTTGGCCACAGCGTCGTTTTTGTGTTCGCGGCATGGAAACGTGAGGTCGAAGTTTTGAAGAACATGGTCAACGGTTCCCCGAAAAACGTCGTATTCGTCCATGTTCTTGGAGAAAAAGCCTTCTGCACAGCGAATCATGTCGTACAGCCGCGTGTTTGGATGAGTCAACCCACCTCTTGATTTGCAGTTTGTAAGAGATGCTTGTGGCAACGTCGGTATTGCGACAGAAAGGGATTGTCTGCAGAGTTCACACGGCAGCATTGTTTTCATCCTTCTTGACAGGAATCCTGTGATGTAGTACAAGACCGCATCGACGACTTCAGAGCTTTCTTGGCTATCCTGGACAGCTTCATCCAAGTCCCAATCACCTGTTTCGACAAGTCCGTCTAACTTTGCTTTTAGCTGTTCGAGGTGCGAGGGGTCATTGTCAGCTTTTTGGAAGATTTTGCGGAGTTCGGAAAGGTCGAGGGCTGGCTTTTCTTCAATAACTTCGCAGTTCCCGAACCTCGGTGGTTTGAGCAGGCTGTAGACGGAAAGCATGCAGTACAACTGCAGGAACGTCGGCATGTCTGGATGGTCATTGTCGCAGGCTGCCTGTCTTGCCTTGCCAAAGAATCTCTCAAGAGGATCCTGATTGAATTTCGCCGTTAGGACGTATTTGTAATCGCACTTGCTTAATAGGTACTCGGTTAGCGCAAGCGTAGAAAGCACTGCAACACGGAGGCCTTCCGCAGTTGCTGGTGTGAGAAACATTTCCTTCATAATTGTGCCCGACTGGAGCTCCCGTTCCCAGTCATCCAGCCACTGAATTGAGTCTCTAATCACGGTGAGGTCGCGGCTTGTCGCACCCCTTCTATAGGATGCAGTCTATTCATGGAGTCAAAAAGGTCGTTCATTCTCTCAGTGAACGCGATTGTTCCTGCAGCTTCTTGCAAATTTAATACTTTCTGATCAGCGTAGAACTTGATACCGGAGCACATTGACTGGCTGAAGACTTGTGTTGCCAGCTTAACGCGCATAAGCTCCATTTTTGAGGGATATATATGGTGTTTCGTTATCTTTGGGCAAACCTTTAGGCCCCCGCGTTCTTGCAGTCTTCCTTGTACACGGGAGTGTGGAGATTCCATTTCACCCACTGCCCGTTCACCTTGAGAAGACGCTGTTTAAGCAGTCTGTTCCTGATGCACTTGAACAGATGCGGTACGCCACGAAAGGCAAAGACATTGCGATCCTCATTTACGGGGTGCTCAAAAAAAATTCTTCGCCTCATCGAGCTTTCCGCTGATGCCCAGGTGCGTCCACATCTTTCTATTTGTCGCCGCTCCGTCACAAACAATCCCATCAACTAGAGCACCAGCGTTTTCTAGCATGATGATTGCCTGAAGGACCAACTGGCTTAGGACTGTCGCTCTAGTAGTTCCCTATGATGCAAATACACCAATAAGTTGCGCGTAACTGTCTCCGAAGGGGCAGAACATGAACATCAGCGCATGATTTGCCAGCTCGGAACAATGCTCATCTCCCTCACCATAGTCCACGAGACCCGTGTAGGTTAGGGTTTTGGAGTTTACACTCTTCCGTTCTCTCACCAGGATTTCGTCAAAGAGGAACATGCCATGTCTCTCAAACTTCGTTTTGGAATCTAGTTTTGCTTTTAACGCTTCGAAAAACTCGGCATCGAAACCGCATTGCATTCCAACCATGGCGAGATACTTTCTGATTGTTTTCACACTGGGCAGAGGTAGAGTGTTGTTTTCGCGCAGAAATCTGTAGCCTGATGACCTCCGAATGTGTAGAAGAAGACAGAGCAACAATCAATCTTGATGGTAACGCATTCCTCGCTTCGACGCAGCCTTTGCAGCTTTCACACATTCCTTCAGCAGCGTCTCTGAAAGGATGCCTTTCGCATCAAGTCATCCAAACTGTTCTCGTTCACTTCTCTCAATTGTTTTTTGCATTTGACTAGGTCAGCTTTGAGAGCTTCTTTTCTTGCCAGATGTCTTTTCTTGGAGCGATAGCAGGCAATATACCGACTTCGCAAGGCCTCAATTTGCTTTTCTTTGATAGACTCAACGGTAGTCGTATTCGGGTCGTCTGCCTGCACTTTTGCTTTCGAATTCGGTGGACTCGTAGTGTGTTGGACAACGTCTTGCACGCGCCGCACTGATCTTCTGGACCATCAAGAAGAATGGCACACCTTCTATGCCGCCAAAATCCGGTCGCATCGACGGAGCAACATTCTACTTTGATCCCAGGAAACTTTTCCTGTGTCGGACCGCCGCGACATACAAGTTTCTTGTGGAAGACCTCGAGCATTTGTGTGAGGTCAATAGCATGCTGGGTTTCTGCGCAAGAGTTCACTATTCTGCTGCTGACCTCTTGCTGTAGCACGCACTCTGTCATCTTCACACCTTCTTTGCACATTGTGAACTCGAGGCTCTTATTTACGAAAATCGGTGTTGTCGGTGATGCCTTCTTCAGCTGGATGAAGCAGATGCTCGGAGCTCCTTCCTTGACGTCTTGTCGGCTGCAAGCAGCGCTGGGCATGACGATTTCTTGTTGTCCCTTGAACTTGTCCAAGACGCACATCTGAGATGAATTAAGTTGCAAAGACTTTTTGCATGTTTGTCACTAGGGCGTCAGCGGCACCAGAACTGCCGGCACAGAGCGCAGGATTGTATCTTTCAACCTCGGAGACTTGTTTCTTCGCCGGTACTTGTTTTTTCGTAGTTCAATGCAGTGAACTCATGCGAAGAGGACGTTACACGACACACAGTCTCAATTTCCTCACCCTTGCAAGCAGCTGGTTTGTTCGTACCTCGATCCACCGAAGTATCTGTCCTTGCATGCTTTCCGCACTTCACGTCAGGTCCAGTTCGTTGGCCTTTTTTGGGGACAGCAGACAAGTAGCTGGGGCAGTGCGGAAAGATTGAAGGCACGGCGTCTCGTAATAACACTGGCCGTTTCGGTTTGTCGAGGAGAACTTCGCCACCGATCTCGCCATAATAGCGCCGCCTGTCTATGTCACTGTCCGAGAAGTGCTTCTCGCAAACGTAGTCACGAGGCGTCGGCTGTCGGTCTTTTCTTGGTATGGCGCGAGCCCACGCTTCCAACCTCACTGGGTCACTAGGAGCTTTGAAGGTAATTACCTTCTCCTTGCAGGACGCGTACTCGCTGCTGCAGTTTGGCACAAAACATTTGCGCTCCATCCTTGAAAACCACTGGTCGAAATCTGCAAAGCACTCTCCTTTGTCGCGGCGGGAAAAACGCCCGGAAGCCACTGAGAGCGCTAAAGAGAAAGAAAACCAGCAAATCATGAAGGGATGCGCGAACTTGTCATGAAATCATGAAGTCATGAAATCATGAAGGGATGCGCGAATCATGAAGGGATGCGCGAACCTACGCATGCGCGCGCACAATATGCGAGCGAGGGGCGCGTGCATGCGGCGGCAGACGTCGTCTGCTCAGGGGCCACTATTAGCAGTTCGTTTCAAGCGCTGTACGGCCTATAATTCTGGCAGTATCGATTAGTGACTGCAGCTAAAATATCTGTCATATCTACCGATTGATGTTACAGACAGAAATCTTAGAAGTTTTACAATGTACGAGGCGCTGTCACGATTTTTATGCGTGTCGTCTATAGAAGAGCATGTAAAAGATGGCCACAGGCCGAAAGCGTCATCTGTCGTGCTTCGGCGTAACCTGCATTCCGCCGTGTCGCTATCGCGCTGCCCTTGCGCGCTGCCGCCGCCTAGGGATTCTCCTCCTCAAATTCTTGCTCCGTGGTCTTAGCACACGCAAGGTACCCTATGACAATGACGACCATGGAACATTCTCCTTGTGCCATGGATGAAGATCAGCGTAAAGTGCAGGATGCGGCGGCTCAACAGCAATGCCGTCAACAAACTACTCTAGTGTCAAGGGCGTGGGAAGTGGCAGTAAAAGGACAAAAACGCCACACGGTTGCAACGCCGACTGGCTTGTACAGTAGGTTATGTCTTAATGCGCTCTGCAATGCATTTTGTATGGCTGAAAACAACCAACAACTACCACGGAAATGTGCGTAGACCCAGTCTTTGCCAGCTTAATGCTAGACCTGATGAAATAACTATTGGCTCTACATTTCATGGTCTACGAAGCCATAATAATTAAGACGGAATAAAATCCACAACTCAACATGATATAACCATGTATGACCAATAAACATTGTATATAACTGTTTAGCTCGTCCAGCGCCCAAGCAACTCCTTCTGGTTCCACTCGAAGTCGCCCTAGCATTTCCACTGTCCTGTCCCAAGCCTTGCATATAACTGCACGCCTCTTCGTCACTCAATTATATGCGTCAGTGGTGATGTCCGCTCACACTGCAGTGTCCCACTGCTTTGCCTACTCATCATCATTGACTTTGGGGAGATGAAGTGGTGTATTTTTTTTTAATATTTTTATTCATGAATATGAACTTAAAAGGGAAAAATCTCTAGCCTTTGTAGCAATTCCTACTGTGCAGGAAAGAGGGCCCAAACTGCATTGCATTTTCTTTCTGCACTAGTATGTTTTTATGGCCAGTCATTGCAGACACTGAGAATGCCTTTACAGGAATGGAAAATAATGTTATTTTACATCTTTTTATTCAATTTCTGAAGGAACTCAAACCTCGTTGGAAGTATCTCGTGGCTGTGATGAGGACAGCCATGAATGAGTTGTTCCTGACCACTGATGTAAGTGTCTGCGCTAGTTTTACATATCTGTTGACAATTTACTGGTAGGGTTTGTTAGGTTATGGTTGTCGTGGTATCAGTGCACCAGCTGTCAGTCTCCTTTTGCAACTTGGCAGTGTTCTCTTTATCTATTGGAAGCAGTCTGTTCGTTACATAGGATGAAGTGGGAAAATTCAATGCGCACTTCTCAGTAGAATTGGTTTCTGATAACTTTATGTGCACATCTACTTTTACCACATCGTTAATTTACAGCCATTTTGTAATAATGCAATAGTGCACTAAAAAAAAGCATGCAGCAGTGAATGTTTCAATTCTCTATAATAAAGCAAAAGGAATAAGTAAATTTAGATGGAAATACAGAGTACTGAATGAATGTGATGTTGTTTGCAGTAGAATACTTGTACATTGCGGTGATTGATATCACACTGACCAAAGCTGAATAAGTGATAAAATAAAAATTAAGACTGCCAAAACATGGACTTTTAAGTCGTTCACGAAAATGTAAATCAATGAAAAAAATATAAAAACTTGGCACTCCTGTAAAATATTTTGCTTCAAGCATTTCGCAGGTGTACAAAAGTGACGTCAATTATTTTCGAACTCTTTGTTTTTCTTATTTGTATGACAATGTTGTCTCTCCAACATACATACATACATACATGCATGCATACATACATGCTAACATTACACATCGGGAACCTTGTCTTCTTATGCTGTCATTACAAACCCGAATAAACCCATACCGCAGCTTCCTATTTTATATGGTACCAGTTTCTGCATGCTGCGTAAGTTGTCCTCATTGCATACACTTCATTCTGCAAAGTTGTATCCTGCATGGTCACTCGTAGCATATCGGATCCAATGAGTCTTCATGGTCGTGGTAGCTCTATCTTGAATGCAATTTCGTTCGTTCTGAGAAACGTTGTACATTGGCACTCTAAATGACACAAAATTTCGGGGGATAATAGAAATCGAAGTGATGAGACATCATTGAATAAGGAATCCTACCGTAGCCAACATTTTGACAAGTATTCTTGCCAGTGTGTTGTCTCCAGCAGCACTCAGTGTTCGGTGATGTCTCTCTTTGATGGCACATATAGTATTAAAGAGGTACTGACAGGCAAACTTCATGTTAAAATAAAAGGTGGAGCTTTCAAGAGCCTAGAAAATGTACTGGTAAGCATGAGTGCACCCTGAAAAAGTGGTTACACTAAATTTTTAAAAGGTAATTTCGGTTCGTACTGTGCCCTGACGTCGCAACACAGTATGAGCATCTCGTCGTTTGCTCGCGGAAGATATCGTGGCCTTTTGATGGCGGATGTATTGGAGATGCTCAAGCGGTCATTTTTAATGTTATTGTGCTTGACGTCGTGCCAGTGTTAATGTGAATAGGTGTGCCATGTGAGAATTTGCTTTAATGTGAAAATAAAATAAAATAAACACCAACATTTTCTGACTTCACACAACTCTACTGCGAAATCTCGTTTGTGTGCCCCTTCAGAAGAGCTCTGCAACACTTTCTGAGCATGGTCAGAAAACACTGTTTATCGGCAGTACATGCTCCCGAGAACTTGCGAGCCTAATATTATAACACAGCACGCACACGAAAACTTGCAATACACCCTCTGCACTTTGCAAATGGTGCCATATACTCGAATTCCTGCATCATATACACACGTCCATGGCGTTGATTTGAGCATCACGAGTTGTATAGTTACTTGGGAGTTTTCTAATTGAGGCCCCAAAGAAATAGGGTCGAGACCACTTCACATGCGCAAAACCCAAGCCATGTTTCGGTTTTATGTTGGGGACGCTATTCAAAAATTCTTAGCTCCTGCTTGAAAGGGCTTAAGCTTACAACGTGTGTTTACTAAGGGACAAGTCTTTTTGTCTCCTTGTCATCCCCTGTCCTGTGTAGCTTTCGGCTTGTGACGTTTCGCTGTAACTCTGCTTGTGCTTGACTGATTCGAGTCGTGAAGCAGTGTGCGCTAATAGACGATCCCATCATAACTTGCACAGTGTTGCAGGGCCCCTTTTGGGCCATGGTGATGGCAAAGGGAGGACTTGTGCACTATATTTTAAACCTGTTCATTCTAACAGAAGGCATTATCGCAAAGATCCATCAACGTTGAACGACAATCATCCTTGACGCAGAGCAGTGCTATGAATGGCGCCAATACTGAGCATGGCGTGAGTATGCCCAACCGCAAAAGACTCTCTCTCACGACTGAGCTGGTGCACAATATTTGGTCCCATTCTGGATGTGGTCTGCATGTGTGATGCGGCAAATGTTGCCTGCACATTGAGCTGCTTGGCGCGCAACAACACCTTGGTTGTTTCATCTTGGTTTGCGGAGCACTTTGATGTAACAATACTGGCTTTTGTGCTTTTGTTTCTGGCCTATGCAAGAGCACTGCAAGAGTACAGGATGGGGGAACAGAAAGGCTAACAATGTGGGATGGCATACTTGGACATGGTTGATTGCAAAAAATTTTAGAAGGGATTTGAGCTACAATGTTTAATTGCACTTCAATTGCATAAGGAATGTTTATTCCTAAATGAAAATTAAAAAACAACTTAAATATGGATGATGCCTTCAGTTTAAAATGATTGCACTATCCACTTCGAATTCAAAGAATGTCTACTAGGGCCTTGTTATTGTTTAAAAATACTAATAATTACTTGTTGGAACCAAACACACAAACTATGAATTCTGTGCTCTATGAGCTTGTCACAAGTTCTCAGTTAGTCTTGAAGCTGCCGTAAAGGTGAACAATGGTGTTGTCTTTGTATGCACAGCATCTTAAAGAACTAACACAGTTTGATATTGTTTGTCACAGATGTAATGCTAGAGCAGTTGTCCAAACAATGCTGCTTGGACCTCTTCAAATGAGCGCTGGTAATTGTATGGGAAAGAGGGGAAGACAGAATGAAAGTAAAGGTGCACATACAACCACACAGTGTGCTGACTGACACGTGAACTTTATTGCAGCAAAGAACGTAAATAAATATGTATCCACGTATCAGCCCTCGTCAATATAAAGAATAATAAGAAAAAGATTGTTTAGATTCTGAGACGGCAACTTTTAAAGCTTCTGCCAGGCGTGTGTTGGAAATGTTTCATGCATGTGCGAAGCCCCTTGAATCGACTAGCGAATATTATAGTGATAATTCGGCCGGGTGTCTTAAGCTATGTATAGGATGCGATGCTAAGAGTATGTGTCTGCAATATGAGCCTCACAGTAAGGAACCTACCTTATCCTATTGCAGTGTGCACTCGAAGTTGGTGGAAATGGAAGTCACGAAATTCGGTCTGTGCAGCGCATTCACGAAGTCAAGTAATCATTGCGAAAAGGACAGCTTTCAAGGGGGCTATCAAGATTGATTAGAGCCGTTTATCCCGATCCCGTGCTTGCTACCGTCGCATGCACGGGATACGCAAGGAAAAATCTGAGATGTGCACCAAAAGTGCCACTAGATAGCCACTGCAATACGCTATTTATGCTAAATGTCTCGTGAATTGAATCACATAGCCCAGTGTGCAAATGTTCCAACCGTGCCAAACCAGCTGTCCAGATTATGTCAACAGCTGTACTTGTGAGGTCTTTCAATGTAATAAAAGGCATAACATGCAATTTCTTTAGTATATACCAAATGTGTACAGGATACCATTAAAGTTGGGAGAAGAGACAGCAAACAACAATATAATGTAAGAAGAGCCATCACCGGCCATATTGGGATTCACTGCAAACAATGCGGCTGTAGTCCTGAATTCGTTAAACGTGACCTGTTCGTGACTAACAGGAACCAATTGATGCATGAAATTGAGGCCCACAGGATATCAATGTTATAAAAGATAGATGTCAAGCACTTCTTTTGCTTTATTACCTGTCAAGGAAATTTCGTACCTTTTTGCTGGCAAATCATATTAACCATTGTTGTCATGCGCTGCTCAAAGCTTCTAGCATCGGTGTCCATTTAATATCTCTTGCTTCATCTTATTTCTTGTTTATACTGACAAAGGCTGATTTGCAACTATATTTTAATTTACGGTCTTCACCCTAGTAAACTTCAGTTGCATGTCAGTGCAAAGTGCGGTCGTATGTGGGCCTTTACTGTAGTTATCTTTCGTGCAGTTTCCCCGACGTTATGTTCAACCAATCAGCCAGGAAGTTCACCCGTCAAGAGTGCTGATAATTTTTGATAATTGATCCATAATTATTGCTTTCACAGAAACCTGTATTTTATGCTGCTCATTTTTGAGATTTTGTAAGAACTAGGGGGGGGGGGGGAGGCAAAAATTTGTGTGGGCAGATGAGATTGAGAAGTTTGCAGAAATAATGATGCAGCCAGTGCAGGACCAAAATAATTGAAGAAATGTGGGAGAGGCCATGCTCCTCTTGCACCCTCCTTTTGAATGCATGAGCCACAGTTGACCCACTCAACATAGCATGGCTGTGGTGTTAGTATGAAAGGACCAGGCAAGCATGTTTCATATGCCAAGTACTCTGACAGTACAAGTGCCCTTCACTCGGTTGCCTTTGTATGAGGAAAGGTGTTGAATGGCATCAGTGGAAGCTTTAGTTCGTGAGCCCCTACTTAAATACAGGGAAATTTTCTCGACTACGACTACTGCTCCAAAGTTCAATCTGGTGACTGCAGAAATTTCGTCATTCACTTGGGCCTCTTCTTCTAGTAAATACTAAGATTTTTTAATGTAAAAATAGTGCCATGTTTTCGACTCTGCAATGGAAAGTAAATTTTCGCTAATAATCAATCTAAATATGTCAGGGCCCCAACTTAGTTTTCTGTTCTTTTGGAATCTCCAAGTTAATTTTAGTGCCCTACTGATTTGTGCATGACTCTTGAAAAACCATTGTTAAAAAGTGGTAAGAAATTTGCAGGAATTCAACTACACACATCAGATTGCATCACTTCAATGCTAGGGTAGTTTTGGAACATCAAACCCCACATATCAATCAAGCAATCAATCAATCAATCAATCACCCCAAATGCAAAATCGTACATTAATATGTACGTTTTTCTGTGATGACTTGTGAACCTTTCGCAGTTTGAGCTATTTTTATTTTTAATCCTCGGCACCTAGAATAAAAAAATTCAGGTTAAAAAAAAAAAACTGGTTCCACTGTTATTGCCCTGCTTCTATACTTTTTTGTTTTAAGTGTTCACATTGCTTTCTGTAGGTTGCATTAGAGTTGAAACCAAGCTGAAGTTTCCTTTCAAAAAGAGGTGCATGTGTAATGTGTGCCAGCTGTCTGCCTACCTGCCACAATTTCCATGCTCCACAATGTTATGCACCCTATTGCTTTTTGTTTACTCTCATTTACACACTACTACTTTGCTGCACTCTAGCCTCTGCTGTTTGCTATATGTAACTATGCCTTGAGATTGTTACGGTTACATAATGAGGCAGTAATTTGTAGCCAATCAAAGTACGTAATTTCAACTGAGAACTGTTCCAGACAGATTTGAAATGTGCTTCATTTCAGTTAAATTTACTCATGATTTGCACTAAAATTGTGGAGTTTCGTCGTTTGTCTACACATTGGAATAACAGCTGTGTGGAGGGTGGTGGTGAAAACATTTAATAACCATTAAATGGTTACAGAGAGGTGATTGGGTTGGGGCCTTATTGGCCTCCTACCCTCACAGCACTAGGTGGAACCCCTATTCCGGGGCTCCATTGGCAAGCAACGCCGCCCGCGCACGTTGAACCAGAGCCTCTTGGGCCTTCAGGTCTTGACAGCCGAGCAGGGCCGCCTCCCAGTCCTCTCTCGTGGGATTGGGGTTGGGGGGGATAGATGGATTAGACTGGCACGCCCAGACGATGTGAAAGGTGTCAGCCACCTCACCACAGAACTGGCACGTGCCATCAAAGGATGAATTGAAATGTTTTAGCACCGCCGGGCACAGTACAGTATTGGTAAACAGTTTTAAAAGGAGGCGCTCGTCAGCGCGATGCAGTCCCTTACAAGGGTCTGGATAGCGCCGGTGCTCCTCCTTGTAGTAATTGGTAATATCTTTGAATGAAAGGGCCGAATTGTCTGATTGCGAGTAGGCTTCCAAAGACAGGGAGATAGCCCGGGAAGAGAGTGCGCGGGCGGCCTGATCGGCCTGTTCGTTACCCCTGAGTCCTTGGTGACCGGGTGCCCAAACCAGATTTCGCGGAGTTGGATTAACGTATCGGCAGCTAGGTTCCAGTATGCGCTGAGCAAGCGGTGAAGCCCACCCTAGCTGATAGTTCCGACAGGCCCCTTGTGAGTCGGTGATGATATGTTTAGAAGAGGGATAGGTGAGAGCCAGAGCGATGGCAACCTCCTCCGCGTGTGTTGCGCTGTAGGCTTTGAAAGTGAGCCCGTTTACGGTGTTTGCGTTGTGTATGACTGCGGCAGTATACCACCCCCCATGGTGCGGGCCGGCAACGTCCACGTAGCACACGTGTTTCTCTTGACCAAAGTGTCGCTGCAACGCTTCCGCGCGCGCCTGGCGGCGACCACTGTGGTTTTCTTTGGACATGTTGCGGGGAAGGGGTCGGACCCGGAGGGCGCGTCTCCAAGGTTCTGGCACTCTCACCCTTTCCTCAATATAGTAATCGTGTTTGATGTGTATTCGGTCCAAGAGGCGGCGACCGGAATGGGTCTGTGCAAGGCGCGTGTATTGGTTAACGAGGTGGGCTTCTCGAAGTTCCCGGTAGGTATTCACCACGCCTAGGGCCAGAAGTCTCTGGTTGGACGTGGTGATAGGGAGGTCGAGAGCCCGCTTGATAACTTTACGGTGGATGACCTCGAGTTGATCATCCTCGTGTTTGCGTAGGTGCAAGTAGGGAGTCGAGTAGAGTATTCTACTCGTTACGAAAGCATGGGCAAGCCGCATTGCATCCCTGCTTCGTAATCCGCCCCGCTTGTTGGAGACCCGGCGGACCATACGGCCCACCTGGTCTCCCACCGTGCGAAGTTTGGCTATTGTGGTGTCGGCCTTGCGTTGGTGGTGTATGAAGAGGCCAAGGACGCGGATCTCCTTGGCCTCACGGATCGGTCCCGAGGGAAGACTGATATGGAGCTGAGTTGTGTCCTGAGGGGAGGGACGTACGTGCACAAATTCTGACTTAGCCGGGGCACACTGGAGTCCGCAGTAGGTTGCGTAGTCGTCGACTACAGTCGCTGCTGCTT